CTCCAGCTGAGGCCTGCTCCTGATTCTGACAGGCATGCGCGTCGGTTTGCATCCTCCCTCCTCATCCTGCCTGCTCCAGCTCCAGAGCTTCCTCCTCTGGCTGGTCCTGTCCAGCGTGTCCTGTGAAGCCAGCTTGGCCAGCCTCTTTCCCTTTCTTTCCTCTGTCTTCTGAAGATAACGCTCAGCACAGCCAAGTGGCACCAGGCTAGCATGCTTTACACTTGAGAGATGAAGTAATAACAGGTGGCAAGAGTGGAGCTGCCGCAGCCCAGGATCCCAGTTGCCATGGAAACATGTCAGACCTGTAGAGGGACACAGGAACTGTCAGCCGTGGAGGGTAGGGGACAAGTGAGAGTGGCAAGGAAAGGCATATATCTTCCCGGAGGGCTTTGCTCACTGCCCCTGAATTCCCCAGGGGCTGCATGCCCCAACCTAGTGGGCCCCAGAAATAGAGCTTCCCAGCTGGGCTGGGGCTGGGTGCTGGGAAGTGAATGTGGCTGCGTGTTTGTGCACACTAGGCCCTGTTGTCTGCTCAGGATGTGAGGCCATGCTTTTGTGCATGTGCCAAGGAGGAGCCTAAACTCCTGGACTGCTTCCTATTCCTCTAAGACACTTGGGATGCGGATCTGGTCTCAGCAGAACCCAGATGAGGGGCTGTTACTGGTGGCCAGATTGTCCCCACTACTCATTCTTTTCTGAATGGCAGGCACATGGCAGCAGGGAACAGATTGAAAGGGGGAAAGACAGCTCTGTCTGGTGGTGGCTTTATGGAAGATCTGGATCCTTGTTTGCCTGACTTAGTGCAGTGATCCTGTGGGGTGTGCACGAATGCATTTCTAGAATGCCTGCTCTCTCGTCCCTGAGCATGATGGCGGGACCTCCTATTATTTTTTCTACATTTCTTCATGAACTTTGTTCCTGATTTCCATTTTTTTTTCCTTTGAGCTTTTTTAGATTTATCTTCCCCAGGTAAATTTCTAAACTCTTAAGACTACTTTATTTTCTCAGCAGCTTACTTTTATCTCTTATATGATCTCAGCTCATGAGCATTAATCAACAGAAAACCAAATTCATCATCACAGTTGCTGACATAAAGATACCACTTGGGTCTTTGCCCTCCTTGTCATCTTACTCTATAAAGCAGGACTCAATTTCTCATAAGCAGAAGCAAAATCTCTATTTAAGTCCCACTTGCAAGGTCTAGGTGAACTTCCTATTTATAGTAAAATCTTTTTTATAATGATCTCATATATAGTACCAGGAAATTGCTCATGGCTGGGTCAGGCCATAAGCCAATCTAGCCATGGTATGAGCTTTACTTAAAAAAAAAAAAAAAAAAAAAAAAAAAAACTCCTCCATGAGCCTCTGAATTCTCCAAAGAAGTGTTTTCACAGGAGTATATAACAATAAATATGCAAGGTATGGACAGAAAGTATTTGCCTGTGGCCTTCCCAGGAGGTAAAGAAGTGTGATTAGAGGCAGAATCTCTGAGGATACAGACAAACCAGGGGGAAATCCTGCCTCCAAAGAGGTATAACTGGGCCCTGAAGATAGCACTTTAATCTCCTTGGATTTCTTTCACCTCCTCTGTCAAATGTGAATTCCTACTTCGCAAAGTTTTTGTAAAAATCAATGAAATAACATATGTAAGGCATCCAGCATAAGATCCCCACCCCCCCATTTTGTAGCATAATAAATGCCTGCTGCTTCTTGTCTATTGAGTAGTTGAACAAAAGGGAGGCTGAGTGGACAGGCACCACCTGATATCCTCTCCTCAAGAAACAGTGAATCACATCTTGGCTTGTGTGTTTGGACAGAATGATACGTCACCTTCCGTAGGAGGGGTACAGTGTTCTTTCCTCTAGCAACACAGGGTCCTAGGCCACCCACTCCCACGTACTCCAAGAGCTGGTTGTGAGACCAGGCCAGATGACTGCCCAATCTATCTAAACACAGACCAGGGGCAGTGAGTGACATTCAGAGTGATGGGTACTGCTGTCGCAGGGAAGCAAGCACCATCCTTCCTAGGAAGAGGTTCCAGGGACAACCTGTGCCACCTACTGACATCTCTGCCACTCCTTTCTAAGTCATTCAGTCCACAAATTACCGACAGCCCTTTTTGATGTGCAGGGCATGTAGGTGTTCCAACAGTGAGTGTGACATAGTCCCCTCCCTGAAGAAGTAAAAGACCATGTCATATGGGGATATGAGGCAGGTGTACACACGTATCAGCAAATGGAGGGTCATAATAGTGATGCTAGCAGAGTGCCCTCCCCAGCGCAGGACTGGTGATTTCTGGTAGGAAATTGGGAGAGCTCCATAGGAGAACCTTCATTCTGAATCTAATCCCTAAATACCAAAACATTGTCAGAGAACCAGATGTATAAGCTACTAGTCCATCCCATGTCATTTTACCAAAGGGATGTTTTGAGCTCACTGCTGTAAGAAGAGAGTAGGAACTGAAGCAATCACGATTTGTCTAAAAAGAAAACATAGCTGGGCACTATCACTAAATACTGGGCCATTTCCAGATTGAAAATGCACCTCCTCACCCCTGCTGGCCTGGCATGTGACAATGGCATATGCCAAGGCCTGGAGGTGGGATTTTGAACCTCCTTCACTCCCTTGGACAGGCTGGACAGGCACGTAGTACGGCCAGCAACCAACATGAACATGTACATGTGGGGACCCTGCTCTGATCCAGTCTCCTCACAAACTTCTTTTCTTCAGATGAATTAAATGCTTTTCTTTTGGTCCTTTTGCCTAGGCTCAATTTCTCCATCACTCTGCTGTGCTCTACTAGGTCATTTCTGAATTTTTTATTTCTTGCAGTATTAGAGGTCATGATTTAACAGAGTGTTCTACCAATTGTCTTTTGGTGGGGAATACCGTAAAGAATTATCTGGAAGTTCTTATACTCTGTATTTTACTTTTTCATCCTTGTACATCACAAGGGATATGGTGTGTTGGAGAAAAGATTTTGTGACTGGGGAGGAAATCAGACATTATAGGAAGCCCCTGAGAGGACAGGAGAGAGACAGATGAGGAGACCGGACCCCCGGAGAGTTTTTGTGGAATGACACACATGGATTCTTTGATCTCTGTCCATGCACGAAGCTACCTAAATTGTGTTCGGCCTCTCCACATTTTGTATCTAGCTTATAAAATTTAGCTTTGGTTCACCCATCAGCCCCTACCTTTAACATACCCTATTCTTCTTTCTGTTCATTATTTGATGAACTTTTGTTGAGGAAACCCTGAGTTTATTTGCTTCATAGACAAGCTTGGATTTTTCTAGTAGAGTTCTAAAAACTGACAAAGATGACAATTGAAGGAGAAGGGAGAAAAGGGATGCTGCTACTTCTGGATTTAGGCAATGGAAATTTTATAGGCAGAGTAAAATTTTTGCAGATGTGTTGGTTTGGGGAGGTTAATTGCAAAATCATTCTGTATTCCATGCAGATCTTTTTGAGATCCAATGACTGGTAAAGAAAAGCCCATACTCAACGGACTACAGAGTGTGGCTAGCTCCCCTCTCTCTCCCAAACAGCCGACACTTTTCTTGCAGAGAATTATCTGCCTCCCTGAAGATGGAAATCAATGACTTAGAAACTGATTAAACAATCCAAATAGCAACTGATAAATGGATTAACCCTCTGTAATATAATTCTGCTAGCTTTTGTCTTCCGCCTTCCCCAGGTAAGTTTTCTATTCCTGGAGGCAAAACGGAGGCATGGAGGAAGTGAGGGCCAGAGGGAATCATATTAAAGTGGGTGAATCCGTTTATCACTTACTGTCTGGATGGCATTTCTGCTCACATATCTGCTTCCTTTTACAGATTTGTACCCTACGGGACCCTGATTAATGTTAGCTGGTGAATAATGAAAGATAGCAGACATTGGGTACAGTGAGGAGGAAGATACCCCTGTGGTTAAGGCTGATCCCATAAACAGAGAGACTTTCTTCCTAGTAGCAAATAGGGAGTGTGAATATGACAAAGAAATGTCTACAATAGGGAGGGAGAGACAGAGGAAACTGGAGGCATTTTTCCCCTTGTAAAGAACCTTTTCAAGACTTGTCAACCACCCCCAGAAATTGAATGATTCTGCTGTTGAGGATGGGTGCTATACTCATGAGGCTTTGTTTTCAAGGCCATGTCCCACGGTCTTTCTTTGCCTTTGTTTAAGGATTTTCAGAGGGGCATGTTATGAAGTTAAGAGTGTTTAGTTACCTGTAAAGATCTTAAGCCTAGAGACATGCCCACTCGCCTACCATTTAACCCATCTCTGGCATGAAGCTGAGCTAGTAAGCACCTGGTAAACCTGTATGTAGGCTGGAGATTAACTTTTCGTGAGTGTTTTCCATGATCAATGAGTCTGGACTTCCTGGAAGTGAGGCTGAATGAGAACAGACACCTGCATACCTGCCAGGATGCTCATCAAAGTCCCCAAGATATCTTTGGTGTCCATCCTGGACGTGACCACTCATTAGTGCTTCTTTGCTTTCTTTTTCAGAGATAGGAAGGATGTCTGCTAAATAAGAACACCTTTCCCAAGGGCAAGGTCCCAGCAGTGACCATGTTCTCTCCCTCCAGTTTCACTGTAGTTTATGGTTGCCACCTGATGTTTGGAGTCTTGGCCCTGAGGGCTGGTTGTTCAGGGCTGAGTAGTGTTCACTGAACCAGTAGGCCTTCTGGATGGTTTGGTCATCAAGGGATATAATTAGAGGAGCAAGGTGATTTCTATAAAACACAGAACTGGGAAATATTGTATAAATTAAACTCTGGATGACTTGCAAGACATGACTAACATTGAGAAGGATCCAGAAGGATCCAAAAGAGAATTTAGACCTATTTAACAGCTTGGTCACAACAAAAGCTCAGATTGTAGACTTCTTGTTCCTTGTGAAGCAGATTCTCTGCCACACCATGGGAGGAAAAGAGAGGGTAGTAGAAATTCTTTTCAGCCTGAAATTAGAATTCTTTTATAATGTTCCCACAGCTCAGAAAGGACCGGATGGAACAGTCATTCCCAATAACTACTGTGACTTCTGCTTGGGGGGATCTAACATGAACAAGAAGAGTGGCCGGCCTGAAGAATTGGTGTCCTGTGCAGACTGTGGACGCTCTGGTGAGTGTGGCCCTTTCCTGCCTTGGGTGTCCATAGGCCAGGACCTGGTCCACCTGTGTTCCTCTGCCATCTGGTGATGGTGGGCTTGGAGAGTGGAATGGAGAGTGATGGTGGTAGTGGTTTTGAATGGAGAGGGCTTTTCAGGTCATTTTGATATTTTTCTTCTTTGGGTCTTAAAGGCCAAAAGTTATGCCCTAGGATCCAGGAAAAAGGGCAGAGGGAAGTTTTTGACTTGCATCAGGGTAGATTTTCCTTTGCATGCATGAGTTGTCGACCACAGTGAGGTAGAGTGGAAGTTCCTGAGATGCAGGCAGTGTGCTTTCTTGTATTGGGTGATGCACCAACCTAAAAAGATGCCTTTGTTCTGTGAATGTATCTGGGACAAACCCAAAGAGTATGAAAACGTGAATATTGGGAGAGCAACCAAACCTGGGTAGGAGTCACAGACCCCTGGGCAGCCTGCATGAACACCACCCCCACTGGCCACTCATCCTGTTTTCTCACATGAAATAGGCAGAAGATACCTGGGAGATCAAGAGGGCGAAAGGGCAGACATTTTTGAGAGCTAATCTGGAGTTGATTCGGTGTTTTGTTTTTGTTTTTGTTTTTCATTTTTAACCTATCCAAAAACTAAAATAACAACCAGAGACTTTGGGTTTTGTTCTTTCATTCCTAAAATGAGTTCAGGTCTTCACGTTTTGTCAAGTGGTTGTTTCGTTTTTCATTTCTAACCAAACCATTATTTTTGGCTGATCGTGGTTGGTTGGTAGTAATCACTTTTCAAATTGTGTTATGTCACAGCTAGACCAAAGTGCAAGGCAGAAGGGGGCGAGGATTTGGGCATCATTTCTAGTCTCCTCAACTACTGACTAGGAGGTGAACACAGTTCGATTGGGTGGATGGTTCCAGCAGTGAAGAGTCGTTTCTCCTTTCTACTTTTCTAACCAGTGTCTTTTGCACTCTCAGTCCTAAGAAGACTGAAATGACCACATCTTGGTTTTCCACAACAACTCAGTTCTTCCCTTGCTTTGTCTGCAAACTTTGGCTTTGGCCCTTTTGTATTTTGATGTTAAGATTGTTTAGGGCTTAAGACTGACTCAAGTGGCACATCAGTAATTCAAAAAGGACTGGTTTCCGTTGCACAGAACCCTCAACTCTCAAGGACCCTGACAGGGTGGTCCATTGTGCAATTCCATCAATTCATTTACTGTTCAAAGATGATACCTAATGCTGCACTTTTTACTGTACTGCTGCTAGTTGAGACGACAGGGCCCTTGTGATAGTGGACTCTGGTTTTTAGATACTTAAAAAGAAAACAAAACAAATGAAATTCAATTCAGAGTTTTTAAAAAGCAAGCAATCAGACAAAATCTCTACTGTGAGAAGCAAGGTCACTTGGTGGAGTGATATTCTAAGCAAAGCGTTGTGGACTGCTATAGGCTTGGATGGGGTAGAGAGGGCAGCTTCAGAAATCCCACTGCAAACTGCTATAATTTCCCCTTTTCTTTCCTACAAAAGATAGGGTACTTGAATCTAATCCATGGGGTATCAGAAGTGGGAAGTTGATTTCCTATACAAAGCTCTTTCCACAACCTTCACTCAGCATTTCCCCCACAAGGTTCTGTCTGCTATGTGACTCAGGGGGCCGTTTTATACCAGCCTACGTATTCTCACTGCATTTTCTAAGGACTAATTTGGGTGGATCATTTAGTCAAGGTCTGACTCTGATGTTGCTGAAATAGTCGGTACCTAGGGAATAAACAGGTGGCAATATCCTAAGGGATGTGCTTGTTAAGGCAGGTGGGCAAATACTTCTCTGGGGCCTCTCTAGGGTCCTTCCAGAGAAGAGAGTGAAGCTTGGAAGATCTGTCTTTCCCTTTCCATAGAACTCACTACTTCCATTTCCTGGGAGAAAGTCTAATTCTTGAAATCGGCACCTTCAGTGGTGCGTTCTGTGAGGCAGTCCCAGGGCCCGTTTATAATGTAAAGAGGCTCGAACCTGAATTTTAGACTTCAGGATGCTCTGTTTTATTAGGCCTTTCACTTTAACTCCTATTTCTCACCTTACTTCTCTGAGTTAGATTGAGAAACTCTGAACTTTCTGGAGTAACCAAGCCTTAGGTATGTTTAGTGGCTAGAGTGTGTATGTGTGTGTGAATGCGCGCACAGGTGTGCACGCACGTGTGTGTATGTGGGAACAGATCACAGAAATTTCCTCCAGCGTTAAATAAAACGAGAAGCTCTTTTATTACCCACCACTTATCAGGCTTTCCAACCTCCTTTTGCTTTCAGTGCAAATGAACCACACGGTGTAAGGGCAGAATTGAAAGGGTTCCAAAAGAATGGGATTAAAAGCAGGCAAAAATAAAAATGAAATGGATGGAGGCTTAACCACCTTGAATGGGTTATCTGACAGTAATACCTTTGTACAGCTGACTGTCAAAGTGAAGGGCAAACATTGTTCAAAGAAACACCAACAGAAAACACCAAAGAAATACCAACCAGGCTTTAAAACCACCAAGGAAAATCGTTGTCTGGGGCTGGGTTGAGTGAGCGTGCATGCTTATGTGTGCAGGCGGAAGAGGAGGAAGATCATGCTTGAAGCTTCTTTCGCTGTCGGAAGCTGTGGACACATGTATTATGGTAGCAATGATGCTTTTTTGGGGAGGGGGGAAACCTCTTCCCTGGAAATGTTTGCTTTGTCCCAAATCCCTATCACTAGGAAATATACCTGGTTACTCCCTTTTGGTGTGACAATGGTTTATTATCTTGCTATTAAGAATAGCGTTGTAATAACGTAATGAGAATATTAATGATGCTGTCTGTTGCTTAACCCATGTGCTGATATATTCATCATACATGTCAGCTCATTTGGGAGGAGAAGGCAGGAAGGAGAAGGAGGCAGCGGCCGCAGCACGCACCACGGAGGACTTATTCGGTTCCACGTCAGAAAGTGACACCTCAACTTTCCACGGCTTTGATGAGGACGATTTGGAAGAGCCTCGCTCCTGTCGAGGACGCCGCAGTGGCCGGGGTTCACCCACAGCAGATAAAAAGGGCAGTTGCTAAACCCATGGACAGACTCTCTGGGCAACTAGCCACCCCTTTGACTTTGCTCATTGTGCTGGTTCTGATAGACTTCTTGTAAGGAAAGACAACGTTAGGTTTTCCCTTTATCCTTGCTTTCCCCCTCACCTCCCATTGTCCCTTTCCCTCCTGCCATCCCTCTATTTTATTGAACGTCAGAAGCACAAACTACTGAAACAAAACAAAACAAAACAAACAAAAAACGAAAGAGCAGAATGAGAGTTCTTCAGAGAGATGGTGTTGCCATGTGCTATTTATTTTCTATAGAACTAGGAAGGTAGGCAGATTATCTCTTTTTTGAGGGGAGGGGGGCTTTTTGACATGAGCAGAGTTGATTTCCTCGATTTTCATATTTATTGGCCAAATGAAGAGAAGAGTAACTTTGGGTTTAGAACAGAGAACTGATAACATTTAAAAATTATTATTTATATATTCTAGCTATTATTAGAATCAGACCTTTTTTTGAGAGAGAGTGAGAGAGAAAAAAAGGGAAATCAAAGAAGCCACAGTAATATCCTATTTAGAGGCAAGCCACTGGGGGGAGAATTTCCTCACTGGGAGATGATTGCACTTTCTGTGTCCCACGGAGTTGGAGGCTCCCCAAGGCAGACCCCTTCCCCAGGTCTCCTCCCTGACCTTTCCGTCTTCCTCTCTGCTTGCAAGAAAATGTCAGCGACTCCAGAGAAGTCAGGGCACCTGTGTCTGGCCTCCTCCAGCACCAGGGCCCTGGCCAGCCGCCTCTTTGACTTGTCCTCCGTCAGCAGAGCTGCTGTTTCATTGTTGCTGGTTTCCCTCACTTTCCTCCTGGCGAAGAGCAACTTCCAAGTGCAGGAATGGAACACAGGCAGAAAGCCACAGGCTCAGCGGAGACAACACAACCTGGGGCCGTGCTCACTGAAGGAAGAAGGAGATTGCACAGTGTCTTCCCTTGCCCCTTGCCCCTGTTTAAAAACATAAAAATGCTCGTTGGATGATCAAGTCTCCTGTATTTCTTCTATTTTTTTATAGTGCCTGCCAGGCACTTTGTTTTATGTTTCCAATAGCACCTGCTGAAATAAACGAAAGCAACACTGCTCATAGCCCTGGATCAATGGAGAAGACCACCCACCTCACTGACAGTCCCAAGAACCACCGGCTGCAAGGTCCTAGTCAGAGGTATGTCTTGCCGACCTGTCTCACAATGTGGGCCAAACCATCATAATTTTTTTTTTTTTTTTAGTTTTCTTTTTGTTTCTTTTTGCTTTGTCCCTTGTCCTCCCACCAGCTTTTTTTGTTTTGTTTTGTTTTGTTTCTGGGTTTGGACCCCCTTCTTAGTGTGGAAGTGGCTACTGGAGTGTCTTCCACCTGCCCTTTGTGCCTGTGTGTGCATGTGGACCCACATGG